TTCTAGCGCTTGGCTCACCCTCTCTTCACTCTCCAATCCCATGTCATTTTCTTTGTCTTGACATCTAAATGCCTCTTGTAATTTTCTCAACTTTCAGGTACCACAATACCATGTGTAATTTACTAATTAATTTTACTTAGAATAATTAACTTTGTCTTTTGTTTATGTTCTAAACCCTTTATCTCTCAAAAGTGTTATGTCCCATATTATCCTTTGTAGCATGAAGGTTTGCTGATAAATGAAGGTTCTCTAGATATTGAAATATCTTCCTTCAGCCATCAAGGAGAAAAGTTTGCTTGGCCAGGTTTAATGTTTATAAAATTACTCTATCTATCTGTGCTTTGTGTATTTTTCCTCCCAAATTCTCATCTATAAAAGCTAAGGAAAAGATTTAATGTTATTCTTAGCTTCACACGGTATAAATTTTATATCTCTTTTATTTACCTTTATCTTTAGCATATAAAAACCTTACATGTGGGTATGAGGGAAAGGGATGAGATTGGAGTTTGGTTTTTTTATTTGTTTGTTTGTTTGGTTGGTTGGTTGGTTGGTTTCTTTGTTTTATTGTTCTCTGTTTTCTAAAATTGGTCAAAAGAGCAACATGCTATCATAGAAAAAGGGTTTTGGCTTATCTGAATTAGAATTACAGACTTGCTACCTTTTAGTTGGGTGACTTACATAAATTACTAAATAAAACCCCATCTCCTTCATCTCAGTGGGTTTTCTGGAAGATTGAAATATGTGCAAAGTTCCTGATGCACAGCTGGATTCAGAGCTATGAGAATGGAAACCATTATCTAGCTGTGTGACCTGGAGCAAGTCACATGAAAGCTCTACACCTCAAAGTTTTCAGACATAAAAGTGAGATAATAAAAGTACTTTAAGGAGTTGTCATAAGATTAGATAAGCTTATTATAAGAAAGTGGTTGGAATTGTGCCTTTTGTATGGTAAGCATGTCATTATCTTTAGTATTATTACCACCATTAACCATGTGTCTGTCAATAGCTAAGCTGATACTGTAGGAAAATTTCCTGAACATGGCAAATGCCATTCATAGAGTAGGTAATCAATAATTTTCTCACCTTATTATTATCATTATGACATGGCTTATGTGAGAAGAAGGGATCCTCTATTTCCACAGTCATTTCCTTGTTAGGCCTCTTGTTTTAGGTCCATTGCTTTCTCTACTATTGCGTCTTCTGTGTAATTTTTCAGCAACTTCCATACCTTCAGTATCACAATTTGCTCACCTCTTGGCATAAAACAAATCAAGCTAATTTCTCAGTACCTTTTTAACATTACTATTATCGATGCTTTACTTCATCGATGCTTCATAGGGAATCTAAAATTTATACTGAGTACATGTCTATAGCTACCTCAGGTTTAAGAGAAACCTTTTCATATAAATGCCTTAGCACAGGACCTGGTACATAATAAACATCTAATAAAGTTAGCTAGTCTTACCACAGTCAAGTATTTTATCTAAATCATTTAACTTAATCCTTTACTAAGTAACCTTATCAGGAAACTCCCCATATTTCATAACTGAGATAACTTATGCTCAGAGGAATAAACAGATTGAGACTACAAGACAGCAATAAGAGGGAAAGGATTCAAATTATTGTTCATCTTATTCCAAAATACTCTTTCCACTACATTTGATGAGCCTTCACCATTCCTCCTCTTGTCTTTTTTACAATTTCAATTTATTCCTATTTCTTTACTGGGCTATTAGTGGTATCATCACTTCTTCAATTATTATAAGCATTCTCCTTGGGATTTCTTGGGGTCCCTCCAAATCTTTTTCTGTTTGGGGTAATATTCTTTAAAAATACCTAGGCAAGACTAAACAAAAGGCCCCAGTCTACTGTCTTTCTTAAAAGGATGTTCCATTTAGGAATATCTATTTAAACAAAAAAATAGCCATTTTAGGATATTCTATGAATACAAAAAAAGCTTAAAATTATATAATCATAGTCGTTCAAATTCCAGCTCTGTACAGACAAGTTCATAGGGTCATTATATGTTATTCTCCTTTACTCCTTACAACAACTCTATGAAATAAGTACAGGCAGTCCCTGAGTTACAAACATCCAACTGACATATGGTTGCACTTACGAACAAAACTACTACAGGTAGTAAGTAAATGTACCTGTTTCAGCACTCCCATGAATTCAACTTACGAACAAACCTACAGAATCTATTTCATTTGTAACCTGGAGACTGACTTTGATTATCCCCAGTATGTAGCTGAACAACCTGGGGCGGAGAGATGCCCCACAGCTCACTGCACAGCCAGTCATCATGTTGGGAGTTCCCAAATCAAAGTAACACAGCCAGGTCTAGTGAGGGCCCCAGGATCTTTCTGGGAGCCTGACAGGTACTCATGGCCTCTGAGCCACAATGGTACTCATGACACCTGGGACATCTGTGCCTGCCTCTGCTCTGTAGCTTCCCTTTGTCAGTTTTTATTGTCACCCTTGGTTTTTCTAGTCCATACTGGATTTTATTTATTTATTGGTGTATTTTAATTCAGAGAGCCAGGGGTCTTGTTCAATCTGCGGGGGCTACAGGATACTATTCTACTGACTTGTCATTATTCAGGAGACTGACAGAAAATAGCTACAGCCACACATGTGTGTGCTCTTGTTCAATATCATGAAAGCACAAGAGAAAACCATCTCTGTATCATTAACATATTACTACTTTTAAAAGAAAGATCTGAAGCTAACATGGTAAATTGTTAACATCTATTCAATCTAGGTAGTGGGTACATGGTGTCATATTACTTCCCATGCTTCTCTATATGTTTGAAATAGCTCATAAATTAAGTAAAAATAACTGTAAATAGAAAACACTATTAACATCTTACAAACACAAAGAAAATAAGGCTTTCTTTATGAGGCTTTATTTCTTAGACACTGAAACATTTTTTATACACTAAATAACAGCAAATGTAGCCAAGTGCTTAAATGCATAAGTACTCCATAGCTGATTAGTTATTACCAATTTTTTTCCCTAAGGTCTTAAAATACACCATACATAGTCCTCTGATTTGGGATTCAATGGCCAAGGCTTCCAAGGGTTATCCTGTATTAAGGACTGCCTATAGAAGGTTGAAGGAAGGAAAGGCAAAAAACAAAGCCAAGGGTGAACAAAAGGGCCCTAAGGCAAAAGGGCCAAAAAAATGGCATTTATCACCTTGGGGAATTACAGTCCCTTCCTCTCCTAGGTTAAGAAGCACATGTATCAGCCTCCTGAGAAGAATTCTTTCTCTCACAAACAGACTTACTTTAACCAAGCTTACAAGACTAATGACTACAATTAGAGTACCAATATATTGTTTTAAAATGAGAAATCCATAATAGAAATAGCATAACAAATCTCTGTAGGGAAACCTAGGTTGAAGATCAAATTATAACCCAAGTTTACATGACTAGCACAGCATGAGAAAAGAGGAACTGATAGCTACCTCTGTTGAATTAACATTATCAAGCTAAAATAGCTCAACGTATCCATCTCCATACATGGGAAAGACTTGCCAATAGGAACAAAATACTATAAACTCCACTGACCCAAAACTTTCTCTCCTCTGACCAGTGTTTTAATGGATACTGCCAAAGTTTGCCCCAGTGATCCTCATATTTCTATGTTTTAATGGCCATCAAATCCCTCTTTGAATTGAGACTTTCTTTCACTGAATGTCCTGGTATATTCAATCATTTAACAGGCCTAAGGGCCACATGTCACTACAGAAGCAATTCTACAGGTCATTTATCTTAGCGGTTATAAAAGATTCCATGTTGGTTCTGTGCCTGTAGCTCACTGGCTAGGGTGCCAGTCATATACACCAGAGCTGGCAGGTTCGAACCCAGCCCAGGCCTGCCAGACAACAATGACAACTACAACCAAAAAATAGCCGGGCATTATGGTGGGCGCCTGTAGCCCCCACTACTTGGGAGGCTGAGGCAAGAGAACCACTTAAGCCCAAGAGTTTGAGGTTGCTGTGAGCTGTGATGCCACAGCACTCTACCAAGGGTGACATACTGAAATTCTGTCTCAAAAAAAAAAAAAAAAAAAAAGCAAAAAATTCCAGTGAAATTTGATACACAAGCAGACAGTCTTCCTGGGGTAGCTGCAAAGATTATGAACATCATTTTTTTTTTTTTAATCTCTTAAAGTGAGGGGAATGATTCTGGAGGGAATCAAATA